CAAGAAAACACAGTGTATAATATATCAGACTAACGAAACATTAAAGGAAGTTCTGAAGTAATTATGTCTAGAAATTCTATGCCCGCTGCAGGTAGTATATCACACCTCACCAGGGAAGAGATGGAATATTCCATTAATCCTGCTGGTATTACTAACTCCATGAAACAAAATTGAGATTCCTTTCTATCTCACAGCATGTAACAGGGTAAAATCTAAAAAGTTCAAAGTAAAAATATGTAGCGTGAAATCACTAAAAACACTAACATTATGAAGGATTTCCCAGGCTTGCCACGCAATGACTCAAGGCCCAGCAGAAATAAGACTCACAAAGACTTCCAATACTCATTTAGATAAAGAATATAAAAGATAAGTGAAAATGAGGTAAAAACAGATTAGAAAGACCCAAGGGCTAGAGAGGTAGCTCAGAGGTAAAGTACTAGCTAGGAGGGGAGGGGTCAAAGGAAAGGGAGAGAAAGTGTCAGGGAGAAAGAGAGAGTTGGGGGAGAAGGTAGAAGAAGGAGAGGAGGCAGAGGAGAGAGAGCAAAGGGGAGCAAAAGCCCTAATCTCATCTTAACACCACAAAAAAGACCACATGCAGCCGGGCACTGGTGGCTCACGCCTGTAATCCTAGCTACTCAGGAGGCTGAGATCTGAGGATCGCGGTTCAAAGCCAGCCCGGGCAAGGAAAGTCCGTGAGATTCTTATCTCTAATAAACCACTAGAAAAACCGGAAGTGGCGCTGTGGCTCAAGTGGTAGAGCGCTCACCTTGAGCTGAAGAGCTGAGAGACAGCGCCCAGGCCCAGAGTTCAAGCCCCATGACCAACAAAAAAAAAAAAAAAAGGACCACATGCATTTATCCTATAGAATTGACAGAAATGCAAGGGTCATAACTGCAATTTAAAATTCACTGATCATTAGGGTTAGCTATAGCTAGAGAGAGAGAATTAGTAAAATGGAAGATGTTCTGGAGGACAGATCAGAAATAACTACCCAGAAAAGTAGTATAGGAAAACATGAATGGAAAATGAAATGAAAACACTACTAGATGTTGAATTCTGGGTTCCATGCTGAGTGGCTGGGACTGACTGAGGATACAGTTAAGGTGACCATGCCTGGTAAGCTTTAAGGATGAGCTCGAGACCAAGGCAACTAGTTAGCATCAAAAGACCAATCAATGCCTCAGAGGGAGAGTCTAGATAAAAGAAAGCACACTTCATTTTGACCACACCTCTATCCTCATCTCAAATCAAACACAGGTTTGGGGTACTGTCAACTGGTCCACTAACCCAACCCTTTGTATGGGGCCATGTACCCCATCTGTGGACTGATGCACACAGATGAACACTGCTTATTGCCCTTCAAGGTCATGACTTGGAGAAACGTTGAGACTTTGTAGCCATTAGCGATTTCTAAGCAACCCAGCTTAGCCTAAAGAAAGCAGGGTGGTGATGCTGAGTCTTCACACCGATGATACACGCTATAAAATCTAGCTCAAAACAGATCACAAGGACCTAAGGCAGCTCAGAAAACCATCCAACTCCTGAGAGCCCAAGGGAAAATCCAGACAACCTCAGGGTCTGGTGGTGACCACACTATCCAGCCTATAATCTATAATCCTCACTACTCAGCAGATGACAGGAGCATCTTGAGCCAAGGCTGGCCCAGGCAAAAGCACCATAGACAAGAGATACAATGAAAACCAAACTAAAGCAAAAAAGGGGAGAGGGAGGGGGAGGGGGCATGATTCAAGTGGCAGAACACTTGCTTGGCAAGCCCAAGGTCCTGAGTTCAATCCTCAGTGCCACACAAAATAGTAACTGACGGGCTGGATTTCATTCAGTTTACACTGTTCTACTCTGTAAAAGACACTGCTGAGGGATGGGGAGATAGCTTGGGGGTACAGCACTTGTCGATCAGGCAGGAGGGAGGCCCCAGGCTTGGTCCCTACATGGAAAAAGAAATTCCAAAAAGAAAAGAGAAAGAGAGAGAGAGAGAAAGGGAGAGAGACTTCAAAAGATAAGCAGTAATACAAGTAGTATGGTAGTGGGTAGCGTGTACCCACAATCCTGGCTCCGAGAGGCTGAGGCAGGAGGATTCTGAGTTCGAGGCCACTCTGAGCACATAGGGAGACCCTGTCTCAAAAAATAAATTTTAAAAAAGAGAAAGAAAGAAAGCAGCATTGAGGCCTTTCTGATACTAGAGTGTGAGTGTGCACTGGAAGGGAGACAGGGGGAAATTATTTCATGAGGTGCACCAGGCCAGTTGTGCACGTGCTTGCACAACTTCGAGAACTCTTCAGGAACAGATGAAGGAGGAGAAGAAAACTCAGTTCTTATCTACAAGTGCCTGGAAGCAGCATGTCTTCAGGCCAGCCTCCAGCACTTCCTCACCCTGCTGGGGCTGGGGAGGACGGGGGAGCCACGGCCGCCACCACGCGGGAATAGTGCTGAACCCACTCTCCATCAAGCATACCCCCGGGAACTACGCACTCGGTCAGGAGACTGAGGGGAGGACTGGCTGGTAGGAGGGCCTCCCTCATGGCGTCTAAGACCTCGTAGTGATGATTCTGAGATGGGTCCTCAGCAAGAGTCAACGATTGTGTCTGTTCACAATCAGACTCTGATCCAATTGTGTTTTATACATATGTTCACCATGCTCAGACACCAACGGCTATCTATCATAGAACCAGGGTAGGGGGGGATTACAAGTGAGTTTCAACTTCCTTCTAGTTGCAACTTTCCAATTCTTAAAATTCTTTGTGTGTGTGTGTGTGTGTGTGTGTGTGTGTAAATGGGGCAGGCAAAGGACTCTGCACAACACTGTAAGCAGTCATCTGAGCTCTAGGGTAGTGTGAACGCCCTAGCAGATGCTAGCTAGCAAGGGTTGGCCTGAAGCGTCTATCTAAGACACAGGCAAGGGACAAAGGCATTCAGAGGGCTGTGTTCGGAACCTCAAAGGACAGCACCCCGCTGTCCCCTTCCTGCTCTGTTTTTAGCTGTGAGAGTCCAGGACACACTTGGGCATCCCAGATAGAAAATGGAGAAGAGGCTCAGAACTCATTCTCAAGGTAAGTGACAGAACCAACAGCACAACGGCAGGCCTGCCCCCTCTTTCAAGTTTGGAGGATGCTTCTTGCCCAGTGTCAGAGGTGGTGAGAGGGACAGGTGTGGGTTTGTGGGTGCATCTCTGTCAAGGATGTGCTGCTGACAGAAGGGGACACTCTCTGCTGCCTGCCAGGAGGTGGGGGCCGGGGCGTGACTCACCCAGCAGCTCCAAAAGACACCAGTGGCTTACATTTGTAATTGCAGCTACTCCCAAGGCTGAGATCACCATTCAGATACAGCCTGGGCAGAAACCTCAGCGAGGTGAGGCTCCAATTAACCACCAAAAAGCAGAAGTGGAGCTGTGGCTCACTTTGAGTGGAAAAGCTAAGGGACAGTGCCCAGACTGTTGGCCCTGCCGAGCTGGGAGCCCTGGGAAAGCAGGTGCAGCCCCTTCTCCTCTCCTACCTGGCTGTGCCACTTGTGGAAAAAGTGCCTTGTCTTGGCCAATCTCCCCTTTCTGGCTGCAGGACAGGTGGCTGCATGAAATCAGGGTGCTGCTTCCTGGTACCCAAAACCTAGCTCATCACGAGGGAGCAGTTAAGTGGTGAAAACATTGGAACAGGACAAGCAGGCTTGGCCTTCTCAGCCTCTTGATAGTGTGTGCAAAACTCTAGGCAAGGCTTTTGTGCTTCCAGCCTGGTTTTCACCTCACTAAAAAGTGGGGAAGAGCACCACTCCTGGCAAGGGAAGCTCAAGGCAAGCTTGGCACGCCCTTCTGCTGACAGCCAGGAAACGCACAGAAGCCAGCGGACACACACTCCAAGGACCTAAGAGAAGGCCTGAAGTTCAAGGTTCAGGTAATCTGGGTGTTAAAAGTGAAGAATGGCGTGAATGGAGAAGAACGCACTGAATGAAACAATTAGCCAATGCTAACAGCACAGACAGAGGGAAAGCACTGATTGATGGGGACTGAAACAATGACCGATGCCTGGTAGCATGGGATTAAGGTAAAGCCACCGGGTGAAACACTGTGGTACAAGATAGGCAGAAATACAGACATCACCTCAGCACTGGTATACATGCCACAGAACAGACCACGCCTGGTGGGAGGCACAGACTCACACACTGGTGAGTCTTGAATCGCAGACCCACCCAGATGGACGGACACACTGCAGAACAACTTGCCTGGATACTTCAAAATTGTCTATGACACAGCTGGGCACTGGTGGCTCAAACCTGTAACTCCTAGCTACTCAGGAGGCTCAGATCTGAGGATCGAGATCCAAAACCAGCCCAGAGAAGAAAGACTATGAGACTCTGCATCTCTAATTTACCACCAAAGTGCCAAAAGGGGAGCTATGGCTCAAGTAGTAGAGTCTCAAGTGAAAAAGCTACAAGACACCACCCAGACCCTGAGCTCAAGCACCAGCTTGACAGCAAAAAGAGGCCAATGTCATGCAAGAATGCAGACTTGCCAGGCACCAGTGGCCCACGCCTGTCATCCCAGCTACTCAGGAGGCTGAGATCTGAGGATCGCGGTTCAAAGCCAGCCTGGGCAGGACCATCCATGAGACTCCTATCTCCAATAAACCACCAGAAAACTGGAAGTGGCACTGTGGCTCAAGTGGTAGAGCGCTAGCCTTGAGCTGAAGAGCTGAGGGACAGCGCCCAACCCAGAGTCCCCGAGATCAAGCCCCTTGGACTGACCAAAAAAAAAAAAAAAAATGCAGACTTGATCAAAATTAAATAACACAGAGACAGTGGGAAGAAAGAAAGCAAATGGGACAAAATGTTCACAGCTGGCAACTCTCCGTGGAAATAATCACTGTGCTATTCTCATGACTTCCTGCTAGGTTTCAACAGGAAAAGGTCCTCCCCCCTCCCCCCGTCCTCGGAGAGCGGACAGAACCGCCACATCTGCGGCTCTGGTGTCTGCGAGATGCGAGCTCACTCACCTGTCAGGTACTCCAGGACGGCAGCCATGTACACGGGCGCCCCCACTCCGATCCTGTACTTGGGGTGGCCTTTCTTGATATACCGGAGCATGCGCCCCACAGGGAAGATGACCCCCGCCTTGGCGGACCGTGAGGTCTTGGTGGATTTCTTCTTCCCCCCGCGGCTGGACATGGCGGTGGTTCTGGAGGCAGATCAGAGAGCACACTGGGAAGGCAAGAGGCAGAGCTGTCAGGATCCAGGATTGCTGTGGGCAGCACCCTTCCTCTAGGGGCGCGCAGACCCTGCTAGGCACAGGCCCGGCCAGCAGGGGCCACTGCAGGGCGCTCTGGGTCACGTGCGCCGCTGAAGAGAGAAAGCCGACCAGTCTACACCCCAACACCAACATTGGTCATCTGCATTTTAAAGGTCACACTGGCAATAACCGTGAATACTGTCTTGCCTTCATACCCTACTATGTTATGTGTTTAAAATAGGATTTCCTGGTTATATTCCACATACTTTAATAATTGCATTTTCATATATTTGAGACTGGGGTAATATATTTGCAGTAACAAGAAGACAGTGTTGTCTCCCCTTTAGAACACAGATGTAAAAGCCAGGTGCCCAGGCCTACAGGCTCACGCCTATAATCCTCGCTACTCACTAGGTTGAGATCTGAGGATTGCGGTTCAAAGCCAGCCTGGGCAGCATACAGTCCATTTAACTCTTATCTCCAATGAACTACCAGGAAACTGGAAGTGGTGCTGTGGCTCAAAGTGGCAGAGTGCTACTACTAGCCTTGAGCAAAAGAGCTCAGGGACAGTGCCCAGGCCCTGAGTTCAAGCCACAACTGGGAAAAAAAAAACAACAACAAAAAGAACGGAGACACAAAGCCAGACACCCTGGTTCTATCATGATGTCACAGCTCCGACCTGGGACGAAGAAGGAGCAGAGTACAGGAGTTACCGCCCTGTGGCAGGGATGTCTGTAGAGCGCAGGGAGCCGCGTTTCCCCTCGCTGTCCCCCCAACCCCAGTACCCCCCGTCTAGTCACTCAGCCACGTGATCACAAATGCCTCCAGCCAAGGTCTCCTCGACTAGGCCCATCCGATCCACTTTCTACATCATGGGCAGGGCAACTCTGCTCTCTCTCATGGAGTATGTCCTGTCCCAAAAGCTTGTCAGGGCCGCACAAGTCTCGAGGTAAAAACCAGGCCACCACGTAATGCCCTAGAAACCCAGGCCCAGCACAGCTGTCCAGCTTTACCCGTATTCTGAAGTCAGACCCAGGAAGCCAAAGCCTCAGCCACTCCCGCCCCCGGGGCCGCCGCCTCCGAAGCCACAGCTCCCTTTGGCCAGATGTCCTGTATCCCTCGCACCTGCCAATCAGCCCCGCGCGCTCCTCCCGCTGCTCCATCCTCTGCGGGCCACCGCACTGCGCACGCTCTCATGTCTCCCTCCCACTGCGGTGGGGGGACGGCTGTCCCTGCTTTCTGGGGTGGCAGGGGCTTACTCAGAGCCCCGTGCATTCAGCTTCAGGAACTCGATGCTCGGCTCTCCCGAGCCGGTGGGGAGAGAAACCACTAATAAGCCCATAGTCTTCTAAATGGCAGTAACGAGGGCTCCAGGGGGACAATGGGGGGGGGGAGGAAGGAGGCCACAGCCTCCATCCACTCTGGGGTTGCCTTGATGCTTTTTCTACGGTAACTGGACCACTGAGCCAAGTGGACAAGAATCCACGTAACTAGGAGCCCTGGTTAGCCTGGCACATAACACCTTATGCCAGGGCCTGTGGCTCACCCCTACCATGTCTCTACAGCCCCAACGGCACCCCAGGGCATGTGACCCAGCTGTGCGGGCCAGAGACAGCAGGCTTCCTGGGCACTGCTGCGCAGCTGTGCAGCTGGGCCTAGCAGGGGTGAGATGGTTTCGAACCCTTGACCTGGGGGTCCTGCACTGTGCCCTCTTGTGGAATCCAGCCTCGAGGGCTCAGAGTGAGAGTGGAGGGTGATTTCAGACACAATTAGCGACTCTGTTGCTAACGACCCTCACTGCTCTGTGCGACCTCCCGCACACAGCGCATGCTTGCTGGCAGGGAACGCAGGGGCATGCACGTGAGCCCGTTCTCAGGCTTGGCTACCAAGATGGCTCATAGACCAACAACCCAATGCCTTTGGGCTGAAAGCTTATAATCCCAACACATCTCCTCTCTCTAGCAGCCCTGCAGCTCCTCTCCCAATGGGGCTGACTTTGCCCCTGCTCTCCAGCAGGCCTGCTGGAGATCCGGATGCCATTCTCCCAAGAGAAACGGTTAGTACCGAGGCCTGCTAGGACCAACACACATTCTTCCCTTCGGAGGGATTGCACATCTGGGCAGAGTGGCACACACCTGTAATCCCAGTTACAAGGATGGCAGGCAGATTGCAAGTTCAAGGCTGGTAGTCAGCAAGACCCTAACCCCAAAAGCAAAACACAAAATGAAAGAGGCTGGAGGTCTAGCTTAGAGATAGAATACGCAAGGCCCTGAATCCACATCTCGATGAGGGGAGAGGGATCAGAGGAGAGGGGAGGAAGGGAGAAGGGGAGGGCAGCCTGGCCCCATCCCTCCCATCCTCAGCCTCCAACTATCGGCTGCTTGTCCGGCCTGGAGTGCCTTCCTCGTCCACCAGCTGAGTGGCGCTCACCCACCACCCCTCCCCACCACCCTGGAGGCTCCTGCGACCCAGCCACAGCCCGAATGGCCAACTGCATGTTCCCACAGCACCTGCCTGCCCAACGTGACGCATGCCAAGGGGCTGAGCGCCAGCCACGCGGCTGGCCTGGCCCTGGGGGTCAAGGATCCCAGTCCCTTCTCTGGTGGCGGGTGGATGGCTCACATCTCATCTTGACTGACTCCTCTTCAATGAAAGAATCTCGAGGTTTGTGTTTTGTTGTTTCTGTAGTACTGGGGGGCTTGAACTCAGGGACTCATGCTTCCTGGGTCCAAGTTCCCGCCCAGACATGTGCCTGAGCTGAAGTCCACCTACTCCGGAGGTCCTTCATTGCTAGATCAGGCCCAGGCCACTGCGCCCAACTGCCCTTGGTAGAGATGGAGTTCTGCGGATTTTTCTTCCCAATCTCAACCCTCCCCCTCAAGGAGCTTGGGATGATGAGTGTGACTGTGCCCCATTATGAGATGAGAGGAGGGCTTACAAACTTCTGTCTGCCCAGGCCGGCCTCCAGCTGCAATCCTTCTGACCTCAGCCTCCCAAGTAACAAGGATTACAAGGGAGAGCCACTGGCACCTGACTACACAAGGGGGATTTTAGGGGCTGGCCTCAGAGTGAAGCATGCCGCTCCTGACAACAAGCTCTTACCTAGGATGTGGCTACAAGAGCTCATGTGATTGCAGGAGAGACTGGGAAATGGCATGGTCTGGGGAACCAATGCCCCTGTGGGGCGCTGCACGCTCCCTGCTCTGAGGAAAGGACAGTCCTCTATCCTAGGCCCTCAGCCTGCCTTCAGGTACGGCTCATAGTGAACGCACACGCGTGCGTGCACACACACACACTCGCACACACATACACTCACACTGCCTGTCTGTCATCACAGCACACGAGCCCAGTGGCTCTTTTGCCATCATCAGCCTAGGTCAGGAAGTGGTGCACCAGTCCTGAAGTGATCCTGTGCGGCCACGGTTTGGATGTGGCTGAGTGTCCCCACGGCGTCGTGTGATTTTGTTCTCACGGTAATCCTGAGAGGTGGAAACAGCCTGGCCACAGCGCGCACAGGCTGGCCCGTGGAGAGGTGATTAGGATTAGGTGAGGGCTCGGGGTGGAGCCCCATGAGAGACACTGGCAGCTTCATGACAGGGACAGGGGGCGGGGCACGCACAGGTGCCGCTGGATCCTCTCTACCACCTCAGGACTCTGCCAGCTGCCTGCCGTGGATAACTTGATACAATAACAACAACAAAAGCAGACTAATAGACCAGGCGCTGGCAGCTCATACCTGTCATCTTAGCTACTCAGGAGGCTGAGATCCAGAAGATTATGGCCCAAAGCCAGGCAGGAAAGTCCACGAGACTCCATCTCCAAAACAACCAGCAAAAAGCAAGTTTGCAACATGGCTCAGGTGATGGCCCTATAAGCCAAGCAAGCATCAGACCCTAGTTCAAACATCAGTACCATGCAGAGGGCTGAGAGCTGAGGATCGTAGGGCAAAGCCAGCCCAAGCAGGAAAGTCCATGAGACTCTTATCGCCATTGAACCACCAAAAAGCTGCAAGTAGAACTGTGGTTCAAGAGGTAGGGGCACCAACTAACACTGAGTGGAAACACTAAAGGCAGTGCTCAGGCTCTGGAGTTCAAGCCCCGGTACTGGTGTGCATGTGTGCATACGTGCACATACATCACACATCCACACACACAATGAGCAATACCACAATAAACATAAGCCGCGTGTGAAGAAACCCAAAGCTCATCCCATGGCAAATGGTTGCAGAGCTGGTCACGTGGAGATGTGACGGGGCGATCAGAGGGAGGGGTGAGGCTCCCAGGAACAGGGTGGGTGTAAGAACAAGAGCCCTCTACCACCAGGACAGGCAGGAGGCTGGGCGAGGCACACGGGTGCCCGGGAGGGCTGGCGATGACCTCTTCCCCTCTCTGCATGCAAACCAGCTTCACCGCGCCCAGCCCAGTCTGCAGTTGCTCTAGTAGTCGCAGTCCTGGTGTCACATACGAGCTCCTGCCCTGCTGTGTCCTGCTGTGTCCGTTCCACTGTCTAGTCTGGGGTAGCTTGCTCCGCGCTGAGGCTCTAGCCTTATACACAGGCCCAGCTGATCCCTAACCCGGAACGCCCCCAGGCTAAAACTTTCCAGCTTCCCCAGTGGATTGGGGAGCTGGAGGGCGTGGCAGCTACAGCCCCTGGGACCCAACTAAAACTGCTTTTAAATGTCCCTCTGTTTGCCCTGTCCGGGAAGTTGCACCAGTTTCGTGTACTCTGCAGATGCAGTTTCCAGCCCTTCCTTCCAAGGGGCTAGCCACCTGAGATCTCATACCCTAATTCTAACGCCAGCCGCCCGCCCCTGCCGGCCTGCAAGCCTTCGATGGACAAGGAGGACCCGTCTGCTCTGCCGCCCCGCTTCCCCAAGCACCCAGGCCGTGCCTGCTACCCAGGTAAACACTCAGATACAGCTGGTTGGTTGGCGTCTACAGTGGGCGGAGTTCCCTTAGCAAAGGGGAGGGCAACTTTTCCCAGAGCTGTGGCTTATGG